GGGCCCGCAGCCCGCGGTCCCGCGGCCCCGGGGCCGGCACCTTTCGGCTCCCGCTCCCCGCGCGCAAGATGGCTGACCCGGCTGCGGGGCCGCCGCCGAGCGAGGGCGAGGAGAGCACCGTGCGCTTCGCCCGCAAAGGCGCCCTCCGGCAGAAGAACGTGCACGAGGTGAAGAACCACAAATTCACCGCCCGCTTCTTCAAGCAGCCCACCTTCTGCAGCCACTGCACCGACTTCATCTGGTGAGAGCGCGCCGGCGCAGGGCACCTTCCCGGGGCCCCGAGGGCAGCGCCGCGTGCGGGGCCCCCTCTCTGCGCCCCCGAGGTGGGGGACGAGTACCGCCCGGCCCCGCGTCCCCCGGCTCCCCGCTCCGGACGCCCGGGTGCATAGTCCTGCGGCTTCCCCCGCCCCGGCCCCAGACGGCCGGCCGCGGGGCGCCTCCTGCCCGCTCTTCCTCCCAGCCGCCTCGGGAGCGCCCCGGGGCCGCGGCGCGGGCGCCGGTTCTCCACCTGCCGGGAGCATGGGGTGGATGTGTCCCTCTCCGGGAGGGCAGCGCCTCGAGTGCCCGCTCGCCTGGGGTTCCCCGTCTACCCGCCTCCTTCCGGGCTCGCGGCGCCCTGGGTGTCCTCTCTGTCTCCCCACGGGCGTGGGGCATCCTTTCCTCCCCTTCCGTGTCTGCCGCCGTGGAGCCCTGGGTTATCTCTTACTGCGCTTCCCTGGGGGCCAGGATTCTCCTTTGCACTCCTCAGTTTTCCCCGCGCACCACTGCGGAGACTTTACTCCCCCAGCTCTCACCCGGTCCCCCTAGGCTTGGGGAGCCTTTTCTCTCTTCCTAGTGCCCCAGGGAACACCACCGCCGCAGGGTATCTCTCATCCTCCCTCTGGATGCGTCTTTATCTCTTCTCTTTCCCCAAAGGTACTCGGGTATCTCTGTGGGCAGATCTCCCGCCTGCCCCCCTCCGCCCCCCGCGACGGAAACGCTCCTCCCCATCCCGCCACCTGGTGGTCGCAGCCTCCTTTCTTCTGCCTTCTGAGGGGAGGTGGGAGTTACCGCCGACCTCCCAGCTGCCCCTTCCCCCAAAGGCGGAAGACTCTTGGGCACCCGCCTGTGGCTAGGAGGTTGCACCTGGGGTAGAGGGGCCGGGGTAAGGGGCGGGGGGTGACGTGGGGGAACTATCTGGTGGCTGGGCCCCTAGGGCTGCCTGACATGCTTCTTTCTGCCTTTGCAGGGGTTTTGGGAAGCAAGGATTCCAGTGCCAAGGTAAGCTGTGGGACTCTGGGAATGCCCTTTGTGGGAAGAGATGGTGAAAAGGACTTTCTAGAAGTGACTGAGTTAGGCAGAGAGTGAAGGAATCACATGTCAGAGTGACCTGCCAAGCTGGGACTGCACCACCGCAAAAGGGCCCTTTTAAGGGGTGTGTGTATATGGGGGCAGTGATGCTCCATCCAGGAAAGGTGGGGGGAGCCAGAGGCCCTACCTGCCAAGGAAGGGCATGCACCCTTTCTTCCTTCCCAGCAGCGGGAGTCAAATCCTGTCTCCTGAACCTATCCTGCTTGGCCAATCCTGCTTCTGGAGGAAGTGTCCCCAGGGGCCATTTTTGGGAGGACCCTTCCTCTCCCTAATTCCTTCTCACTTGCCCTTTCTCATCTCACAGAGTAAGGTTCTGCCTCCTCCTTTGCTTCAAAGAAGTCTCCACAGGTGGCTGCTGCGTCTGCATAAGGTGCATCCCCTAGAAAGGGGACTGTGCTTGTCCCCTGGGCCTCCTCCCTCTCTGCAAGAGGTCGTTCCAGATGGGGTGCCTCTCAGACACTGGTTCAAATTGCCTTTTCTAGCTTCTGGCTGCATACAGGAAGGACTCCAAGTGATTGGCCTCCTGGGTCCTTGCACCTGGTTTGAGATCCTTGACCCCAGCCAGGGAGGCCCAACCTAGTGGTGACTTTTAATCATGTGTAAGGTGGCCTTGGCTGTCTCTGGTTGCGAATTCGTTCTCCAGGGTCAAATTACCTGTGGACTTGTTTAGCCCTTAGGCTGTCAAACATTTTTTGAATTTGATGTCAACGTTTCGAACTGGGAGATTTTACGCAGATACCAGAATTTCCAGCTTTTGGTCCTGGAGATTTGGTCCTACTTTCTTGTTGGAACAATCCTTTGGAGCTATTTTCATAGCCGGGACACGCATTCACCATTTCATCCCAGTCCTTCCCAACCGGGCCTGCTTCACCTGTGTCTGGCTCCTCTAGGCATTCGAATTTGCAACTTCGGTCCTGCAAAGTTTTTTTTTTTTCTCCCCAATTTTTGGCCAGGTGTGGTTGAGTTTGGTGGGAAATGCCTCATTTCTGGGGTGTGTTGTAGGGGCACATTCACTGCTTCTGGGGAGCTGGGTCTGATCAGGAGAAGAAAGCATTAAGCGTTCAAGAGTCAGAGATGTGACTTAGCTGGGTCTGTTTTGTTGTAGCATTCCATCCTCCAGGAGAAGTCAAGTGATCCCTGGTGAGTGTGGGTGGCATTGTCAGGATGCTTGCTGTGTGGCACTGCTGTCTTCTGAGACTCGTGGGCTCCTGCCCTCAGCCTCCCTCACCTGAGGTCCAGGGAAGAGCTGGCCCATCCAGTGAACCTTGCAGACCTGCCCAGCCTCTCTCACCAACATGTGGAGCCCCAGTCTCATGCTTCCCAAATCCCTTTATTATTTTTTTTCAGCTCTATATACTCTTGTTTTTTATTTTATTATTATTTTAACCGAAGGCTCGTTACCATACAGTGTTACATTAGTTTCAGGTCTGCCCAAATCCCTTTAAAGTGGCAACAGCTTAGACCCTGTTGCAAACAGATTGTTTCCTAGAACTTTGGCCCCCGAAGCACAATACCAATGGTGTCTTCATGCTGGAATGTGTAGATGATCTTTGAGGTTACCTTTCACTTTGATGAATCAGTTTCTGTCTCTGTCGCTTGCTGGGGTCAGGGGTGAGTTTTGAACTTTTTTTTTTTTTTTTAAAGATTTTATTTATTTGACAGAGAGAGATGCAGCAAGAGAGGGAACACAAGCAGGGGGAGTGGGAGAGGGAGA